ACCGCATACTGCGCATGCGTCACTTGACCCGATATTGTTTTCCAACTCGTATATTAATGCCATTGTATCAAGACGCGTTACCATAGACACGCATTGAGTTAGTGTAGTTATTATTCGGTATATAATATGTAAACACACGTTGCACAGTTATCGGCAAGTTAAATTGTCTGACTTATCAATGTTCATGCAACCATGCTAAGCAAGACATTCATTGTTCGTGGAAATAATGCATACAAGTTTATAATATAATATTTATATGTTTATTCCATACTATAGATCACTGGCTCGAAAGTACAATAGTAGTATCATTAATATATACAAGAGTTGAGGGCGCACACTATACACAAGACAAAGTAAGTAATATACTCTGAGAAGCGACTCTCTTTTTTTTATAAAAGGAGTTAAACGAATTTACCAGAATACGCTCAATAGTTTACCAGGATAACAATCAGTACGATAATATAGTGGGATATACTGGAAACGTAATTCATGGAAAGTTAGACAAAAATGGTATTCGTCCTTAATGAGGTTATTTACACAAAATGGACAACTTCTTTCAGTTCTGTTTATTAGAACCATGTACCCTGGGATCTATAAATAGATTCTTCTGTGTTTATGCAAATTTACCAAACGTCACGTGTCCGATGGGTTGTCATGGCATAACTCAAAACACATCTTATGCCTTCGGCCTCGTTAAAATGTACACGCACCAACAAAAACAATTCTTTCTTCAGTTGTTTACATCTGATCGTAGTATGAACGTGACAATTATGAATTACTCTGTCCTTGCCTTATATTAAAATATGTTTCGATATTTAGAGTAGCAACAAATTTTCACTTCCGATCCGGTTAGACTTAAAATTTACCACGAATATTTACTTTTGAGATATCATTTTTGTAATTTGTTGGTTCTTGGTAATTCGAACTTCATAGATTGCGTAAAAACGAATAGTTTCGCGGTTTGACACAAAAAATGCCTGGGCTTAATTATTTGCTGAGGGATTGCAGCACATGGACCCAAAGGCGTTGGGCAATAAAAAATGACTTTGCGCTAAAGTACGTTCAAGGTCTTCAATTCTTCATAGCATAAACACGGTTTTCATCCTCGCTTATGATGATATCCTGAAAAGCAAGTAATTCGAGTTCGCCTTCAGGGTAAAACAATGGTTAAGTCCCGTACTTTATGCCGTACGTTTTTGGAGTCTCTCAAATTCAAATCCACCGGACTTATATAGATAGGTATAAACAATACAAACGATTTCAGTAGAGTTTTATACAACCCTGTGGGCCCGGAAACTAGCAAAGACGGGAGATAAAATTTAATATTATTGTCGCCATGTTTATTCTTGACTATTCCCTCACCAAAGCGAATTACATCACGAATGCGTGTTCTTCGTGAGTCGGTAATGAACTGAATTCATGTCCTTCATACAAACATACAAAAGGTTTCCTGGAATCTTGCTGCTATCAATTGGGTCTCAATTACCGTAGCTATCGCCGAGGTCAATAGTCCTTCTTCCCTTGGTTATTATCACCGATCACCGTAATTCATGTCCCAAATTTTGTTCCCCGGGCGCCTCTAATAAATTGTTATTTAAAGATATTACCAAAAAATCATGGAAGATTGAACGAAAATCGATAGTTTTTTATACCTCGACCTTTTTTGCTTTTTTGCTTGGGAACGCACGGACGATAAGACTCGATTTCCAAAGACACAGGTCGTTTGGATCGTACGGCTTCTTTTGTTTGGAGTTTATTATACTAGTATGCCCACAGGGAGCCCGGGAACTATACTCAACTGTACGCAGTCTCTATAAGGGGGGGGGGGGTATCGTCTGGTATCTAGTGTAAGAAATAGACAAGGGATGAAGGCTCCAGCCAACTCACATTTTTTGGAACTGGAAAAACAAACGAAAAGAATGAAAAATAAAATCTATAAAAAATACCAACTTGAAAATTATTAGTTGTTTTAACGCGTCTTTGATTGTAGCAATAATGTTCACGTCTTTGTACGTAAAGACGCGCTCTCAAACTTGACAACATTCACTCTCAGACAATCAGACAAGCAATCAGTTACATCACTCATGAAGATTGATACATCATTCATGAAGACTGAGGATTCGATTTCTGACCGGGATAGCCGTATTTAATGTTGATTTCCATGCAATGTATGCCATTCACACAAATCTCAATGTGTAAAATAATATCACCGTAAGTGACTTCACTGGCAAATGAGGACCAATATGTTAATACAAATGTTAATACCGCTACAGCGTAATTGCCAGTACACTGCCTAAAAGTGAAAGTGATGACCTCATTTAAATAGAGGGACTTCCCCTAAGTTGTACCGTCGAGTGGGTATTTGTCATGTGACCAGATTTTGTAAACAAAATCAGATATTATAATTGTATCTCAATAATCATACAGGTCGATGTAGTTATTATTCAGTATATAATATGTAAACAAATATTAAACTGTTTTCGGCAAGTTAAATTGTAAATCAAAATGACCAGGTGAAATTCAATGAAAAACCCAAATGACCTGAGGAACAGGTAAGGTCTTCAAGTCACATAAACTACCACTTACGAACATATGTGACATTTATCATCGACAGTTTGTTTAAATGGCAAAGTAGAGACGATATTAACACACTACGTAAACCGGTCCAGGAATCTACAAATGACAAAATATTCGGTTTACAAAATAATAGTTAGACAATAAGTGCCCCTATGTGAATTGTTATATAATGTCCAAAATATTCACATTTATAAATGTTCTTTCTATTCCATTCTATTCCATTTCATTCCATTCCATTCCATTCCATTCCATATTTACCCAATTGGACTGATTAATTTTTGTATTTATCTCCATTTCTATAGAAAACATGGGTGATGCCTCTTACAATACGGGTTTACCATTGGTTAGAAGGAGAGGTGAGTTGAAATATCAAGTGAATATTATGATTACGTCATTCATTTAGATAAATATGCAAAATAGGATGGGCTATGCATAATTTAGTAATATCATCTAGTCAATTAGAAAAGAATACGGCAAACCTGAAAATATCAAAATCAAAGGAGTGAAAAGCGCTTGTATTGTAACTTTATGTAGTATTGATATTGTCTTGTTCCCAAGCACTCAATATAATACTATGACTTCTGCTAATACTCGTATACCAACAACTAATCGTCGAATTGCATCTGTTTCTAGAATACATTTCTGATTAACATTATTTGGATGTACATCGTGTTAATGTTGAGCATATTGTGAATAAATTACATACATTTCCTTTTTAGTAATTCATGAAAAAAGTCACCCAAATTGCATAACTAAAGCAATAATATATCAAAAAATCAGCAATTTTATTTTATAATTAAACATCAAAATACCTTTGATTTGATATATTGCATGATGTTGTTTCGAGTATGTTGATTGTTTTAACCTGAATATTAACTAATTAAAACAATTACGCACTGTATGTTGATAATTTTTTATGTATCTCTTTATCTAAAGAAAACACCGGTGATGTATATTTGGACGCAAATACTGTTTTGGAATTGTTTAGACAAATGGGTGAGTTGAAGTAGTTTGTATCACCAGTTACACGAATATTAATAACACTACTACACCCATGGTACTCGGTTTGAGACATGCATGCCGAACTAACTCGTGACTCACCGTCACTCATTGTTGCTTTTCTTGCGTCAATATTATAGAAACCACACCCACTTTTGTTGTGAAACCATGCCCAAATTACAACTCGATGTTCAATTAACTGAACTAAGATTTACGGGCAACATTCGACGTTAAACAAAACAAAAAAATCCACGTTGCCCGTAACCTAAAGCTCAGTTGACTGTTAATTAACATGGTTTCTAAAAGTTTGTAACTCGATATGCTTAACTCGAACAATTCAGCATCTCAGTGGATGGTTCAGTATCCACGGTATATCACTCTGTACAGATATGATATACATCATGTAACAACTTTATATTTTATTACAGTAACACAATACGCACGTCCACCCTCCCGAGGTTAGTGATTACATTATATCTTATCTAGTAATCATATCAGATCTAGTTATCATATCAGATACCATTATATCTGATCTAGTAATCATATCAGATACCATTATATCTTATCTAGTAATCATATCAGATCTAGTTATCATATCAGATACCATTATATCTGATCTAGTAATCATATCAGATACCATTATATCTGATCTAGTAATCATATCAGATACCATTATATCAGATCTAGTTATCATATCAGATACCATTATATCTGATCTAGTAATCATATCAGATACCATTATATCTGATCTAGTAATCATATCAGATACCATTATATCTGATCTAGTAATCATATCAGATACCATTATATCTGATCTAGTAATCATGTCAGATAGCATTATATTTAATCTAGTTATTATATCAGATATATTACTATCTAATCTAGTAATCATAATATGAGGTTTGAAAATTAAAATCATATGATACTGTGTTAAAATTAAAATGTTTCCTGTTCCCGTAGTGGGAGAATCAAACACCGGCATCATCAAATTGAGAACAAAAATATTCGCTTTGTTATTACACAATTAAATAATCCAGTATTCCTCGTGGTATTTGCTATAAAACATGCACATGCTAAACATAATATTAATAGAGGTAGTAAATGAAAACCCTTAGTAAATTGTTTGTTTTTATTCGCACTACATTTCAGAATTCCAGAAATATAACAAACACTGCGGTGTGATTAAAACGGATGGTGTTTTTGATATCTTGCGACGAGCGCAACAATCAACTGGCGGGCTGTCGGATGAAGACAGGAGATGTTTTCAATATGCCATTACGTTAATAGAGAAAATCATAGAACGGGCAGGTGCTGCGGTAAGAAGCAGGGGCGAGTTAGTTGGAGCGTTAGGTGTCACAATGTATCATTAAAACTTGTGTTACTCATACGTACACGATAACGACGATAACGACGTGATGACGTCTTTGTAACTGTGCCCCTACCAACACTCCTAAATAGATTCCTAACAAAGGTAACCCACACCGAACCACCCACTTCCTAGATACTATATCACGTAAATTGCCCTATAACCTAATTATTCTATTACATGATTACCATATTACTTGATTGCCAAATTACATACTCATCTTATTAAATATTAGTGATGGTTTGCTGGACCCCATTTCCAAACATTCAATAATAACTATCCCAGAACATGGTAGTTTACGGCAAATTTTTATATAAAAAGAATAACAAAATTTGATAAATGCGCTATTTTGGTAATATCACATGATAAACAAATTGTCATATTGAACTTTATTAGAGTATTAGACAACTATATATTTTAATATAATTTAGTGGCATATTTAATCCAAAGTCTAAAGCCTGTGTTGTTTCCGGGAATATGTATGTTTTATGTATGTGTGTGTTCAGTATATTTGACAACAGCAATCACAGCATAATCACATGTGAATGTTTAGCTACGTCTTTTCATCATTACATTGCGTTGTAACATAACACCCCTGTATATGTATATTATAGGTATGGAAGGATGCCAGGCTTACCATACGTGGTGCATGGATAGATGTCACATTATGGTCTGGGTCAGAGACCAATAAGTTTGAAATACGACTTGACGGGTATGACAACCCCTACGACAAGCAAATTGAATCTGGTTTACGACTAAAGTTCTGGAATGCAATCCACACTATTAAAGAGAAGGCATCGAATCTGTGGTCATTTGTTGGAAGAGTAGCATCCGCAATTCACCCGGCAATTGGCTGGCATTAAATTGATAACCTTGCAGTACAGTTTACAGTACTGTGTGTGATATATATCGCGCCTTCTAGTGACGAGTTAATTCTATGACCTGAACACAAACGCTGTTCAAAGCGTCAATATCACTTAGTTCTGTAGACGTCTAGAAAGTTATACTTTTAAAATTTGTTTTCTTAATTTTAGATGACAAACGACTACACAGCAAAACACCTATTCCGATAAACGACATTGCTCCACCCCCATTTTTACTCATGTCACAGATCCGCTAGTTACTAGAGGGCGCGATATGTGTTTTATTTGTCTTGAATTATGACTGAAAGAAGCTGAATGAAATTACAAACTATGTAGTGTGTTCAACAACTCATGTATTAATCACAACTTGATAACATAATAAATATGATTTAACATGTTAAGAATACTGTGATTTTCTGCATAAAAATGAAAAATGAAAGTCTTTATCGCAGTGTTATAGGCTGATTCTGGGTTGGCAAGGTGTATATGCAATAACATGTATAGTGATTTAGCTGCTTAATTTTGTTCAGCAGTTCAAATTATATTCTAGTGATGTACAGTGACTTAAAGAGTTGTATTCTTATGATTGGCTCGATATACGCTAAGGACGCCCTCTATCAGCAGTTCAAATTATATTCTAATGATGTACATGGACTTAAAGTGCCTGTGCAATGCCCACTCTCACGTTAACTATTTTAGATCCGTGTCCTACTGAAGTGGGCAGTTATTGATTGTTTTTGTCAAAATGGTTACTCCTATCCAAGTAAATTTAACATATATCTCGTGCTGTAGCCACGCCCACCTATCCTGAAACGGTCGACTGTTTCCGGATTTCCGACTCTCGCCGAAAGTGCGCCACCAAATGCCAAAATATGAGAGGAAGCCATACTCCTGAGCTGTACTTATATAACACTGCGTGATTCAACATACTTTTAAACGATATACATTTTTCGGTCGGCATTTCTTTTTTTTGTCAATTTTTTTTTTTTTTTTTTTTTTGAGATAGAGAGTTTTTAGAAGTTGTTTTCAGAACAAACGTTTGTGATGGTTAAACGTTGTGTTGTGGGCGGTTGCAGTAATACGTATAGTCATAGTGTAAGTATTCACACTTTTCCAAACGATCCGAAGGTGCGACGTCAGTAAACGAAAGCCGTGAAAACAACGAGAAAAGGTTGGGGTGGACCTTCTCCTTACAGCGTCATATGTAGTGTCCACTTCACCTCAGATTATTTTTTTCGAAAAACTGTCTTCGGCCGTGAAAAAACAACTAGGTTTTAAAGAGAAGCGCCGACAACTTAAACCTGGCGCAATACCAACAATTTTGAAAGAAATAGATTCCGAACCAGCCCATGATCACCGAGGCGGATTTCAGAAGAGAGAGAGACGTCGGGTAAGTGTTTCAAATCATTTGACTTGTTTTGCCATCCTGATTATCGCTTTATAGAGACAATTAAGTTTGCGTTATGTAAAGGTATCAATAATTTTTGATAGTAACACAAAAACGACGCGTCGGACAAACAGGAAATTACGCAGTCCTTACACACTGCTAATTGTTTTCATTTTCGCAGGCTAAAAGTTTCTGAATTGTTCGGTGATTGGTGTTGAATTCACACCTCTGTTACTTTCCTTCTAGCTTGATCTGCGAAATAATTTATGGGGGTACTGGACATCTCGACCCCAAAAAATCCCGACCCGTTTTTCATACCTACAGCCAAAACAAAGTCAGCTTGGACTTTCAGTTATGAGACATGACAAAACAAACGCTGCCAGTGATAGATTTCGCGAATAAAAAACAAAATTAACGCAATCAAAGGCGCCGACCACACGCGTTGGAAATACTAGTAGATAGTACACGATGTTTCGAATCAAAAGATGTCGATCAACGTTGAACTAGATAGAGGTTCGCGTCGCCACATTGAGACAGGGTCGCGTCGATGCGGTGGGTCGAGATGTCTTGGGTCGAGATGTCTAGAAATCATTTATGGAATAAGAATCCGGGCTTTGGCTGTCAATGCGTTATCACCAAGTAAATAAGCATGACAATCACGCTA